CCAAAGTAGCAATATATGAGTTGGTTATTACAATATATGATTCCAATTCTTCAATATATGGTACCAAAGTAGCAATATATGGAACCAGATGTCCTTATATGAAACCAAATTGTCAATATATTAATTCATTTTTACAATATATGAAACCATTTTATCAATGTATGGAACCAAAGTAGCAATATATGAGTTGGTTATTACAATATATGATTCCAATTCTTCAATATATGGTACCAAAGTAGCAATGTATGGAACCAGATGTCCTTATATGAAACCAAATTATCAATATATTAATTCATTTTTACAATATATGAAATCATTTTATCAATGTATGGAGCCAAAGTATCAATATATAAGTTGATTATCACATTATATGATACCAATTCTTCAATATATGGAACCAAGTAAGTCATGTATGGAACCAGGTGTCCTTATATGAAACCGAATTATCAATATATTAATTCATTTTTACATTATATGATTCCATTTTATCGATGTATGGATCCGAAGTAGCAGTATATTATTTGATTTTCGCATTATATGATTCCAGTTCTTCAGTATATACTACCAAAATAACTTTATATATGACTACTTTAACAAAATTTAAAACGAAGTCTGTAAATTGTTTAACAGTCACTTTCAAGTAATGAAACTTAAGGCATGTCCATTTGTTATTCACAAAATGGAACCTAACAATCAGATGATTAAGATTTTGGAGAAAGTTGGACTTACTCTCGGGCAAATAAATCTTTTTATTGAACAAAAAATATCGCCAGATATAGTGCCTTGTTTATCCTTGTACGAATTTCAATGCTTAGGTGTACGTGATAGAAGTGAAATAATGAAACTTCGAATGGAATGTGTAATCTACAGGAGAACTAATTTCGAGGAACGCCAGAGCAGATTTGATATTCCAAAACAAATGATCAGTGGTCTTCTGGAATCCGGATTTTCCATCACTGATGCAAGTAAGATGTTGTCTGTTTCCGAAAGCACCCTTTACCGAAAAATGCGGCATTATAGCATTTCAAAACGAAACTTTACAGAAATATCTGATACGCAGCTTGATGGCATTGTTACAGAAATGCTGGAAGAGTTTCCTCATAGCGGGGAAGCCATGTTGTGGAAATTGCTATATGAAAAAGGAATAAAGGTAATAAAAGAGTTTGTTTTGGTATGAAACATTGAACAATCTATTTACTTAACGTGTCAAAAAGAAGATTAAAAAGATACTTTGTGCTATGACCTGAGAAAAAAAGCAAGATAAAGAAGAGCAATGTACAAATTTCTTGATTTGGTTAGTTTATATTGTTAGAAATAGGCTTTAAATTCTGCATTTCTTAACTCAATATAATTCTATAATTTGTGAGAAAATTAGTAATTTATTCCTGCTTCATTTCTAGGGTTTAAAGTTCGTGAATTTCCTTCACTTGTAAAAAAAAATTGATTACAAATTTTCCTTTTGAAAACAAAAATAATGTCGACACAGTTATTATTTTTTCATCTTAGAGTGTTTTCCTTTTAGATACAGAGGTTTAGACTTCGGGACTCTCTTAAACGACGAGATAGTCATGGCATTTCCGAAAGGAAGAGAAGGAGACTGAAAAGACGGGTGTACAGTGTAATCGGACCTAATCATTTATGGCACATCGATACTAACAACACAAACTTATTCGATGGCATTTCGTAATATGCGGTGGAATAGATGGGTTCAGTCGTCTAATAACATTTTTGTCTTGTGCTGATAACAACAAAGCATCGACGGTACATGGCTGTTTCATGCAAGGCACACAGAGATACGGTATCCCGGTTCGAGTGCGATCTGACATGGGCATGGAAAATATCAAGGTGGCCGAATACATGGGTAGTGTTCGAGGACCACATTCTATGCTCGTCGGGAAAAGCACGCATAATCAAAGAATAGAAAGATTGTGGCGCGACGTTTTTGAAGGTGTCTTAACTTACTTTTATGACCTTTTCTATTTTCTCGAAGATGAAGCATTGCTTGATGTTCTTATTGAGAAGCATCTGTATGCACTCCATCATGTCTACATAGGCAAGATCAATGAACGCTTAAATGTCTGGAGGAACGCTTGGAATAACCACAGAATTCGAACAGTGAAATCGACGCCACTACGGCTGTTTACGGCTGGAATGTTGAACAATGCCCCTGAAGAGCCAGGCTATCATCTAAATTATGACCAACATCTAACTATTACAACCGAATATAATGACACCGACGATGGTTTGGGGCAAAGACCTATTTTTGAGTTCAGAAACCTACGCTTAAACAGAGAATGTTTGGAGTTGCTTGAAAACGAATGTCCGCAGAACTGGGTCTCAGACAACAACGGCATTGATGTATTTGTAAAAGCAAAACAAATCATAGATAGATTTTAGGGTGGTATATATAATAATAGGGAAATCGAAAAGCAAATACCGGTACATTTGTAGTTTAAAACAAGCATAGTTATTTGTTAAGCTATTCACTTTTTGATTGTTTGACCGAAATCATTTAAGTTTGACTAAGTTTTGCATTGAACTATCTTGTTATTTCATTTCGTTGCCTTCGTATTTTAGTTGTTTTCACAGACGGCGGACGCAAACACTAGTAAATCAGGAACAATGGATTGTTTTATTCGTTTTATCTCAAACCGGGTACTATGCTATTTATAATATGAGTAAACAAGCAGTGCATTTCAGTGCCTAATAAACTAACACTTAAACAGCTTTTCTAAAACAGCAAAAGACATTTAATTTATATATGTAAAGCATTTAGTTTGTTTCTACTTCCTTATTTTGCTGGATCGGGCTTAAGCTCTGCTAGCTTTTTAAGTTAAGTAATTCGCTGTCAGTTTTAATAGGCTAATTAACAAAGTTCGATATTAAAAAATGTAAACGTACGTTATTCCTTCTTTTAAATTGTGTGGTTCTAATGGACTAATACTTGGTAAGATACCATGGATTTATCAAAAAAATTGAACTACAAATGCAATGAATAAACCGAGCAAAACCTTTACCCCTTTCCATTCTTTCATGGTCATTTGCATTTATGATATACCAAGTCCCATTGACCATTGTTCTGAATATGGATGTGAAAGGTAGAAATCATCAAATTGCATCCACATATAAAGTTTGAAGACCCTATGTATAAACACTTCCAATTTATGGCCAGTTGTATTTTTGTTATATCAGGTCCTAGTGACCTTGACCTTTCGACTTGAAAATGGGTATCAGCGGAAGTGACCATAAATGAAAACTTAACCAACAAGAGCCACTTCAACGCGCTACCTTTTTACTTTTCCTTAAATAAATCAAACGGTTTACTAATAAACACATCTTAAAAAGAAAATTAATGAAAATAAATAAGTTTTTCCTTTCATAATTTAATAGGTCTGTATAGTCACACATCTTGTTTTGTTCCAAGTATGAATCGTTTCCATAACTAAATGACAAAGTTAAGAAAATATAATCAAAATTTAATCATTTGACAGTCAAGGTCATTTAAAAGTCAACGTCATATCTTAATAATATTTCCACATGTCTGGTGACAAGTGCATGTTGTTTTCCTTACATATTTAGGAATGAAATCTATACATAAAAAACAAACTTTTGACAACTTAACCAAAATTAATTACTTTGACCTTGATGGTCAAGGTCATTTAAAGCTCAAGGTCATTCAGTTCATCCTTTTACAATGTCATGTCCAGAAGGTTGTTTTGTCCAAGTATGGAAATAATCCATTGATAAATTACAAAGTTATAGCCAATTTTAGCAATGATCAGTGAAAATAAGATAAATTGGCCTTCAAGGTCATACATGAGTCAAGGTTAATTTGAATTAAAAATACATGAAGGTCTTGACCTAAAACATGTTGTGTCTTAATATGAATTTAATTCATGTATACATAATAAAGTTATAGGCAGTTACAAAAAAGGAGAATTTTATTACTTTGACCTTAAAATACAATGTCAATTTAGAGTCAATATCATATCTAAATTGTTTAATATGTTTGTTTGGAAGCAAGTCTTATTTTGTCCAAGTTTGAATCAAATCCTTACATAAATAACAAAATTATGAAAATTAAACCAAAAATCAATTTAACATTGACAGTCAATGTCATTTAAAGCTTAAGGTCAATGTCAGTTCAACCTTTTAGAAGGTCCTGCAAACAAGGTTGTTTTGTCAAAGTATGAACATAATACATTTATTACCAAGTTACAGTCAATTATACAGCAATACCGAAATGACTGTAACCATTACCTGTACTTTTTTATTATTTTAATTTAAAAAAGAAAAAAAGAAAAAAAAGGGTTATTTGAGCTAAAAATGTTAACCAACACTGATGCCGCCAAAAGGGTCATGTCAAATGTTTTCTTTGAAATATGGGCCTTAACTGATTTGCCAAAGAAATATATATAATTCAGGATCAAGAAATTGATTCAACAATGTACCAGCTCGTAGGTTAGCTGTACAAGGTAATTGAAACAACAAAAAGAATTGCAAAAGACAAATAATTATTTTATAATTATATTTAATTTCAAACACACACAACATAACAAATAAAGGTAGTATCTGTCATAAAATTTCTGCCATAAAATTTATGAACATAAATACAAATAAAACTTCTTTGTATGAGGGTCATATATTAGAAAATTTATTTACTAACATTAAAAATTACAATAGTCTTCTTAATTGTATATAGTTTGTTTCTTAAATTTTGGATACTTAAATGGCATAAACATTCATGCAAATCTTTGACATTATTTATTCAAGGTACAGAATATTCTTTAAGAAACTTTCTCGTCATATTAAACACGTTTTCCTGGAGTTTTCATATAGACAAATAGGCAAAATAAAACTGTCAAATAGAATTATTTAACTTGGCATGTTATTAGAATATGATTACAGAAACATTTTAAACAGGAAACAAGAGGGCCATGATGGCCCTGAGGTCGCTCACCTGTGTATATAGCCCCCCCCCCCCCCGCCCCACACACCCACACCCATAAGAAGATGTTTTATGCTAAACATCTAAGCACTAGCTCATTGGGCTTTTTAAAAGAAGATTTTTTTAAAGTTTTTACTATACACATATAGTTAAAAACAATGACACCCCTGGGGCGGGGTCAGTTTTGACCCCAGGGCTTTTATTTGAACAAACTTTGTAGACACCTATTAGAGCATGTTTGATGCTAAATATCTTAGCTCTAGCTATTTGAGTTCTTTAAAAGAAGATTTTTTAAGTTTTTACTATATGCATATAGGGAAAATCAATGACCCCCTGGGGTGGGGCCAATTTTGACCCCAGGGCTTTTATTTGAACAAACTTGGTAGACACCCATAAGAAGATGTTTCATGCTAAACATCTAAGCTCTAGCTCTTTGGGCTTTTTAAAAGAAGATTTTTTTAAGTTTTTACTATACATATATAGTTAAAAACAATGACACCCCTGGGGTCGGGCCAGTTTTGACCCCAGGGCTTTTATTTGAACAAACTTTGTAGACACTTACTAGAAGATGTTTCATGCTTAATATCTAAACTCTAGCTATTTGGGTTTTTTCAAAGAAGATTTTAAGTTTTTGCTATACACATATAAGGAAAATCAATGACCCCCGGGACGGGGCCAATTTTGACCCCAGGTCTTTTATTTGAAAAACTTTGTAGACACTCACTAGAAGATGTTTCATGCTTAATATCTAAACACTAGCTATTTGGGTTTTTTCAAAGAAGATTTTTTAAGATTTTGCTATACACATATAAGGAAAATCAATGACCCCCGGGGCGGGGCCAATTTTGACCCCAGGGCTTTTATTTGAACAAACTTGGTAGACACACATAAGAACATGTTTCATGCTAAATATCTAAGCTCTAGCTCTTTGGGTTCTTTAAAAGAAGATTTTTTAAGTTTTTACTATATGCATATAGGGAAAATCAATGACCCCCTGGGGCGGGGCCAATTTTGACCCCAGGGCTTTTATTTGAACAAACTTGGTAGACACTCACTAGAAGATGTTTCATGCCAAATATCTAAGCTCTAGCTCTTAGGGTTTTTTAAAAGAAGATATTTAAAGTTTTTTCTTTCGGTTGCCATGGCAACCAGAGTTCTGCATGAAATTAAATTCTTTGAACAATTTTTAAAGGTGACCACCAAAGGAACATTCCTGTGAAGTTTGGATGAAATTGGCCTAGTGGTTTATGAGGAGATGTCATTTAAAGTAAAAGTTTACGGACGACGGACGGACGACGGACGGACGGACGCCGCACGAAAAGTGATCACAAAAGCTCACCTTGTCACTTTGTGACAGGTGAGCTAAAAATGGGGATCACCGTTCTCATTTTTGAGTTATCCGCCCTTGAATTGGACTTCTCTGTTAAATTCAAGGGCAGATAATTTACAATGAAGCAAAACAATACAATTTCTTCTTATTTTTATGAAGCTTACCTTCATCTCAGTCAATATGCAAAATTTCAAGAACAAATTTATAGTGGATGGTTTTTTCCCCACTTCTTTTCTTAACCTGTGCATTTTTTCTTAAAAATTGGCCTATTTTTTATGAATTTTAAGTACTTTTAGTTTCATTAAAACAAAACAAGAGGGCCATGATGGCCCTGAGGTCGCTCACCTGTATATAGTCCCCCCACCCCCGGGCCAATTTTTACCCAAGGGCTTTTATTTGTTTATTTGAACAGACTTGGTAGACACCCATAAGAAGATGTTTCATGCTAAACATCTAAGTTCTAGCTCATTGGCTTTTTTAAAAGAAGATTTTTAAAGTTTTTACTATACACATATAGTTAAAAACAATGACACCCCTGGGGCAGGGCCAGTTTTGACCCCCGGGCGTTTATTTTAACAAACTTTGTAGATATTTACTTAAAGATGTTTCATGCTTAATATCTAAACTCTAGCTATTTGGGTTTTTCCAAAGAAGATTTTTAAGTTTTTGCTATACACATATAAGGAAAATCAATGACCCCCCGGGCGGGGCCAGTTTTGACCCCAGGGCTTTTATTTGAACATACTTGGTAGACACCCATTAGAACATGTTTCATGCTAAATATCTTAGCTCTAGCTCTTATGGTTCTTTAAAAGAAGATTTTTTAAGTTTTTACTATATGCATATAGGGAAAATCAATGACCCCCGGGGCGGGGCCAATTTTGACCCCAGGGCTTTAATTTGAACAAACTTGGTAGACACTCACTAGAAGATGTTTCATGCTTAATATCTTAGCTCTAGCTCTTTGGGTTCTTTAAAAGAAGATTTTTTAAGTTTTTACTATATGCATATAGGGAAAATCAATGACCCCCTGGGGCGGGGCCAATTTTGACCCCAGGGCTTTTATTTGAACAAACTTGGTACACATTCACTAGAAGATGTTTCATGCCAAATATCTAAGCTCTAGCTCTTACGGTACTTTAAAAGAAGATTTTTTAAGTTTTTACTATATGCATATAGGGAAAATCAATGACCCCCAGGGGCGGGGCCAATTTTGACCCCAGGGCTTTTATTTGAACAAACTTGGTAGACACTCACTAGAAGATGTCTCATGCCCAATATCTTAGCTCTAGCCCTTTGGGTTCTTTAAAAGAAGATTTTTTAAGTTTTTACTATATGCATATAGGGAAAATCAATGCCCCCCTGGGGCGGGGCCAATTTTGACCCCAGGGCTTTTATTTGAACAAACTTGGTAGACACTCACTAGAAGATGTTTCATGCCAAATATCTAAGCTCTAGCTCTTATGGTTTTTTAAAAGAAGATATTTAAAGATTTTTCTTTTGGTTGCCATGGCAACAAGAGTTCTGCATGGAATTAAATTCTTTGAACAATTTTTAAAGGTGACCACCAAAGGAACATTCCTGTGAAGTTTGGATGAAATTGGCTCAGTGGTTTATGAGGAGATGTCATTTAAAGCAAAAGTTTATGGACGGACGCCGGACGGACGGACGCCGGACGAAAAGCGATCACAAAAGCTCACCCTGTCACTTTGTGACAGGTGAGCTAAAAATAACAGAAACGATATAAGGAATTGCATGTACATTTTGTAATTATGTTTTTTATTCAACAATAAGAATCAAATAATTATCCACAAGTAAAAACAAGAATTCATTTACGTATGTATAAGTTAATTGCCCTTTAAATGACCTCAAATAAGTAGAAAATTCTGATTCATTGCAGATAATTCAAAAATGAGAACAGTGACCCCAATTCTTTTTTTTTGCATAAAATGTTTCTGTTATCATATTCTAACAACATGCAAAATTTAAAGAAATTCTATGGAACAGTTTTAAATTTGCCTATATATCTATATGAAAACTACAGAAAACGTCCTTAATATCATTACTATGTACTTGCACTCACTTTCCTAGAGTCTTGCAGATCTTTAAAATTTTCTTTCAAATGAAAGCTATTTCAAAAGTAACTACACCAATAGACAGTGAGCAATTTATAGCCTATATAGTATGTATGATTTTTTAACTAGAAATTGACACAAGTGCCAAATAACCCCAACACAAGCTTGTCATAAAATATGCTTTTAAGTTAATAATTTTGCACAAAGAGAGAATGCGGTAGTTAATAGATTTTTTTCAAATGTTTTTTAATTATTTTTCCGACATCAATAAGATAATTAAACTTTGGATTTGGGGTTTTCAGGGCTGTCGTTCTTTTTTCCCTGAGATTTCTGCATTCCAATCCGTGAGATCTACGTACCTACAAAATTTGAAGGTGAATTATCTTGTACATTCTGAATTATGTCCCAGACAAAAATATGCAATGGACCGACCAAACAACCACAAACTGGCCCACCACCAGCTGACTCCAGTATATCCTATAAAACTTTGTTATTGGTGGTATTATGAATGGTCAGTTTTTCTTTACCAATATAGAGGTCATATAAAACATTCATATCAATTTATATCCTTTTGTACGATTAAAGAAGATACATTCCAGAGGGAATCTGGACTTTTCATTTTCTCTTGAGAATTTGACCAGGAGAAATTTAGACAGAATCCAAAAATACATGTTGAACATCATTGCAATCGCCAATGGTGTTTCCATAATATTTCTTTTTTAAAACAGCTGTTTACAACTTGATTATTTTAATGTCTGATTGCTAAGAAATTCAAATACAATATACTGATAGAAATAATCAAAGAAATGTGTCGGCATAATTTAAAGCCAAACTAGCAGTAAAAATACTTTTTCCACATTTTAAGGGATCATGCTCATAATATAATACTACTGAAACAGGCACATGTAAATCAAAGCAAATGTTTCTCTAACAAAATTTATACTTTTTTGTCTTAAAAAAGTAGATGACACATTAAAACATGATTAAAATTCTTCAAAAACCTTATTTTCTACTTTAAATGGGACATAAACTAGCAATAACACTTAAACAAAACTAAGAGGGCAATAATGGCCCTGAAATCGCTCACCTGAATATAGAATCTCTCCAAGACAAGGAACAATTAATATTGTAAACGATAAACAAAAGCAGATATAAAATCTAAATCTTAACTGATATTACAAAGTTCATATTTGAATCATGAAATAGTGCATGAGTAAAACATTACTGGTTGCTATTGCAAAGGGAAAACAACAGTTCCAAAAGATGTGTGCATATTAGGAAAATCAATCACCCAACGGGGCGGGGCTAATTTAGACCCCAGGGCTTTTATTTGAACAAACTTGGTAGACACCCACTAGAAGGTGTTTTATGCTAAATATCTTAGCTCTAGCTCTTTGGGTTCTTTAAAAGAAGATTTTTTAAGTTTTTCCTATATACATTTTATGAAAATCAATGACCCCCAGGGCAGGGCCAATTTTGACCCCAAGGCTTTATTTGAAAAAACTTGGTAGACACCTACTAGAAAGTGCTTCATGCTACATATCTAAGCTCTAGCACTTTTGGCATTTTAAAAGAAGATTTTTCAGGTTTTTTCTTTCGGTTCACATGGAATTTAGTTCATTGAACAATTTTAAAGGTGACCACCAAAGGAACATTTCTGTGAAGGTTAGATGAGATTGGCTTAGTGGTACAATGTATATGAGGAGATGTTGTTTAAAGTATAAGTTTACAGATGGACACTGGATGAAATGTGATCACAAAAGCACACCTTGTCACTTTGCGACAGGTGAGCTAAAAATTCAACTAAATTAAACATAATTTAGTGTAATAAAACATCAGCACATTGTACTTCTTGACTGCATGACATAAGTTACAACCTACTTAGTGTTCACAAGGATTCTGACGATTTAAAAAAAAGATCAATTAAAATATAATTATAATATGTAATATGGCCTTTTAAGTGTTTACAAATGATTTCTACGATTTTTCTTCAGACAAACATGGCCAGGTTTCAAAATACAATGATTTTTGACAGATAAAAAAATAAGAGATAAAAAAATTGAACAAAGTAACAAACTAGATGTGAAAAGACAAACAGATGACATATATACCACAATCACTTTTTATGAGCTATTAGCTGAGGCAAAAAATCTGTCAACAATCAACTTGAAATATTAAGTTTGCAATCTATTTGATTGCTTATTCTAACAAACTTACTACACAGCAAACATTTTAATTACAACAAAAAGAGAACAAGAGCATTAGCTTCACCATCTGTATAACTTGAGTAAAGTTATCATAATTAAGGTAACAAGTATAATATAGTCACACAAAATATGAATAATCATTCTTAAAATCAAACATGGCCCCACACTTACAACAAGAGGGCTAAGATGGCCCTAGATTGCTCACCTGACCCATCAAACTCATCCAAGCAATTACCTAGACAAGCATCCTGACCAAGTTTCATGACAGTTGAGTCAAAAATGTGACCACTAGTGTTAACAAGGTTTTTCCATATTTGAGCAGTGTCATAAATTTTGACCCAAGGTGACCCATATTTGAACTTGACAAAGAGATCATCAAAACAAACTTTCAGACCAATTTCTAGGATATTTGATTCAAAACAGCAGCCAATAGTGTTAATAAAATTGTTCTATTTTTAGCTCCTGTGACCTAGTTTTTCATCCGAGATGACCCATGTTCAAATTCATCTGAGCAATTACATAGACAATAATCCTGACCAAGTTTGATGACAATTGAGTAAAAATATAACCACTAGAGTGTTAACAAGGTTTTTCCATATTTGGGAGGTGTGACCTAGTTTTTTAACCCCAGGTAACCCATATTCAAATTTGACCTAGAAATCATCAGAACACACTTTCAGACCTATTTCCAGGATATTTGGATTAAAACAGTAGCCACTAAAGTGTTAACAAGATTTTTCTATTTAGCTACTGTTACCTAGTTTTTCATCCGAGATGACCAATGTTCGAACTCATCTGAGCAATTATCTAGACAAGCATTCCGACAAAGTTTGATGATGATTGAGGCAAAAATCTGACCGATAGTCTGTTAACAATCAAATGTGGACGGATGACAGACGACGGACATTCAACGATCCTAAAAGCTCACACTAAGCAGGCTCAGGTGAGCTAAAAAGATGCGTCTTTACAATACATACATTGTTATTTGATTATTATTCTTGCTACTACGTGAGTGTTCCAAAAGATAAAACTTATTCAAGTTCTAGTTGTTTGATCAAACATGAGCAAATCAGAGAATGACCTTTAGCATGACATGACTATCATCATTTCTGTTCTTGTCATGCATATAAAAAGTTGTTGCCCAGCCAACAAAGTTTCAAAATAACCAGTCAAAACATTGGAAAATTGTATGCTTTATTGTATCAGAAACCAGTGACCTTGACCTTTGAATTTTTGAAAATGGGCTATGCAGATAGAAATGATCAAGGTACATTATACGTACAAAGTTTAAAAGCAAACATTTTTTAAATTAATGAAAAGTTTAAACAAATCTTTAAAAAATCTTAAATAGAGTAAATAAAAATTGTTGATTGACTAACAAACTAAAATAACTCGGCTGACAATTCTATTCTTTACAGACAGATAACAGTTTAATAATTTGGCATAGAAACAGTCTTTGATTTTAACGAAACCCTATATGGAAAATGTAAACAACTGATATAAATGTATGAAAAATAATCACACTTTCTCAAATTTTGTTAGTGTTTTGTCGGTGTCTGCAGTAACAAAATATCATACTGCATAATGATTTCCACCAGATATTATAAATTACATGACTGGAACAATACCTCTATTTTATTTTTTTCCTTAAAAAAATTAAGCTAATAACAAGTGGGTAGCTTCTCTTAGAAAAATCATTTGCTTCGTATTTTTAAAATATCTTATTGAAGGTATATAATAAAGTGAAAATTACATGAAAGTGCAATTTTGATATTGTATTGTTGTCGTTGATTGCATAAAGATGTTACAATTCCCACTCGCCCTATAGAAAATACATCTTTGCACAATTGACTTAAGCAATACAATCCATCAGAATAGCACATTTATGTTATATTACCTATATTATGCCACTTAAACATAAAATATTCTATATAGCAAAATGTTATCCATCAAATGTGCTTCCTTGTACACTATTATGCAATACCAAAGTAACTATTACAGAAAGCTAAATCGTAAAGATTAAACAGTTTTTCATCATCAGGAATTGTATTATTAACCGGAATCGGTAATGTTAAACTATTGGTGCATGTATTTGCAGTAGGAAGAAATGATTCATGCTCCTGGAAATGTACTGATGGTGCTAGCCCAAATCCTAGGGGTGGTTCCATTTCTGCTCCAGTTACAAATTTCAGAACCATTCCCATGTGGATCCCCTCTCTTCTTCCACCTGTCAATTACAAACAAAATATGTGAGTAAATATTGTCTATGTAAGATGTTGGTCACAATTATAAGGCAAGGTTATTATAAGTTATAAGAACAAGTTAATCAGGAAGTTAGATAGCACATAGTGACAAACATCATCATTGCTTAAATAGGGTATCTATGTCCAATCTTGTCTAGTTTATTTAAACAAGAGGGCCATGATGGCCCTAGATCGCTCACCTGACCCATCAAACTCATCCAAACAATTACCTTAAGACAAGCATTCTGACCAAGTCTCATGACAGGTAAGTCAAAAATATGACCACTACAGTGTTAACAAGGATTATTCATATTTGAGCAGTGTGACCTAGTTTTTTACCCAGGTGATCCATATTCAAACTTGACCTAGAAATCATCAAAACAAACTTTCAGACCAATTTCAAGGATACTTGGATCAAAACAGTAGCAACTAGAGTGTAAACAAGATTTTTCTATTTCTTGCTCCGGTGACCTAGTTTCACATGCGATTTCGAACTCATCCAAGCAATTACCTAGACAAGCATCCTGACCAAGTTTGATGATAATTGAGTCGAAAATGTGAGCACTAGAATGTTCACAAGGTTTTTCCTTATTTGGGCAGTGTGACCTAGTTTTTCATCCGAGATGACCCATGTTCGAACTTGACTTAGAAATCATCAAAACAAACTTTCAGACCAATTTACAGAATATTTATATCACAACAGTAGCCACCAGAGTGTTAACAAGATTTTTCTATTTTAAGCTCCTGTTACCTAGTTTTTCATCTGAGATGACCCATGTTCGATTTAATCCCAGCAATGACCTAGACAAGCTTCCTAACCAAGTTTGATGACAATTGAGTCAAAATTGTGACCACTAGAGTGTTAACAAGGTTTTTCTATTTTTACTTCCTGTGACCCAGTTTTTCATCCGAGATGACCCTGGTGTTCAAACTCATCCGATTGAGTACCTAGACAAGCATCCTGATCAAGTTTGATGACACTTGTGTCAAAAATGTGACCGCTGGAGTGTTAACAAGATTTTTCAATTTTTAGCTCCAGTGACCTAGTTTTTCATCCAGGATGACCCATGTTTTTCATCCTAGCTATCACCTAGACAAGCATCCTGACCAAGTTTGAAGATGATTGAGGCAAAAATGTGACCGCTAGAGTGTTAACAAGGTTTTTCTATTTTTAGCTCTTGTGACCTACTTTTTCATCCGAGATGACCCATGTTCGATCTCATCCGAGCTATTACCTAGACAAGCATCCTGACCAAGTTTGATAATGATTGAGACAAAAATGTGACCGCTAGAGTGTATGAGATTTTCTTGTGCAAACAAAGTTTAACCATTTCAGCAAGAAGCTGTCACAGGAGACAGCGAAGCTCGACTAAAGTATCGAATAAAATACTGGACACAGAAAGGAAGACAAAGTTATGAAAGAAAAATCAATTATGTATAATTATGTATTAAGTTATAGTAATAAATGACATTTGTTAACATAAATTCCAAGTTCAAGGGGGAATAATTCTGGAAATAGTCACGCTAGAGTAATGAACCCTGTCACACAACATGTGTGTAATGATATTGAAATTTGAAGTAGATACCTTAAAAAGTAAAGAAGTTATAATATTTCTCAAAGTAAATCCTAAGTTCAAAGAGAGATCAATCTGTAAATATTGCTTCAAGAGTTATGAACATTGTCACATAAGATGTAATTGATGATAAGGATAAGTATTTGAAGTTTGAGGTAGATACCTTTAAAACTAAAAGTTATAGTAAAAAATAATGTTTTTCAAGTAAAAAATCTAAGTTGATGGGGAGATAATTCTTGCAATATTGGTGCTAGAGTTATGAACCTTGTCACATAAGATGTGGTTGATGATAAGAAACATATATTTGAAGTTTAAAGTTGATACCTAAAGCAATGAAAAAGTTATAGTAAAAAATATTTTACTGCATCAAAACTTTAATCTGAAATCTGGACGCAACGCCAGGGCGAGTAGGACAGCTCTCAATATACTTCATATAGTCCAGCTAAAAAGTAATCATCTCATAAAAAAGATTAAATTTGTATGAAAACATCTGTAACAATGCGGAAATATACCGTTAAATTTAAAGACTGCTACTTATAGTCATGTTTGTTCAATTTGAATATTGATGTTAAATTATGATCTGAAGGCGGAGTTTCTCATGCAAACAGAAATTGTACTTCCAATTTCGCCACAATGAGGATGCAGATTTTTATGTTGTAAAACTCATTTTGGTTGTCTGGACACTAAAATAAGATCTGGAGTCGATATGAAACCCAATTTATTTATGAAATGTAGCTATTTCTGTTTTTATGAAATTTATAAAATGTAGCTTTAAAGTGATAATAAATGCCAATCTAATTAAAATGAGTGAACTGGTGAAAGTCAAAATAAGTTGACATGTCATAATTCCTTTGAATTTCATAATTAATTGCATAAATGACAAAATAACTCTGGTGGCCTTCAGAAATTTCTTTAAATATCCATGGAAATTTGTAATGTAATGTTTAATTTATAAAATAATGGGACAGTCTTTTAATATTTAGGCGGTTTTATATTTCATTATGAACATACCAATCAATCACTATCATGTAACAGTCAATCTTTTGAAATATCATAGTTAATTCTGCGCAACTTGACAATGAAAGAAAAATATAATGTCACTAAGTTAAAAGAAAGCAAGAAACATGGCAATGCCACGAAACCAGGTTTTCAATTATCAGCACTGTTGAAAGTTTTGTTGCCATTGGAATATAAATACAAGCAATGTATGGTATAACTTTGTGCATTAAAACAATGACAATGACACTGTAGGGCTCAATAGCAATTCCAATTGAAGCTTTCAAATACTGTAGGAAGAATATACAAGTTTAATTAAAATCTCATTATGAAATCAAATTATTGACCTGAAATCAATTTTCTATTATTAGTAACAGTGACCATTTATTGATTCTAGGAATCCCAAAAGCAATTCCAAGCAATATTTTCAACTAAGCTTTCTATACACCAAGTTGATGTAATATCTCATTCCAAACTCTAGTTACTAACTGGAAACCAAATTTTAAGTAACAGTAACATTGACCTTGATCCTAGGGGATCAAAAAGCAATCAAAAGAGATATATTTCCATAAGCTTTCTATGCACAAAGTATCATTGAAATATCTCATTCTAGATTCAAGTTATTGACCAGAAACTTATTTTCTACTTTAGTAACAGTGACCTTGACCCAGATGGCCCAAAAGCAATCGTAAGCGAGGGTTTTACCACTAAAATACACCAAATTTCATTGAAATAGTTCATTTCAAACTCTAGATATTGACCAGAAACTGATTTTCTATTTTTAGTAATAATGACCTTGACCCAGGAAGTCCAAAAGCAATCCCAAGCGAAGTCTTTAAATAACCTTGCTAAACACCAAGTTTCATCTAAATATCTTATTCATTACACAAGTCATTGGTCTCAAACTGATTTTCTGCTTTCTTAAAAGCAGTCCAAAGTAAGGTCTTTGCATATGCTTGCTATACACCAAGTTTAATTAAAATATCTTATTCCCGTCAGAATTAAAGTAGACGTTGCGCACAGAAGGAATTGTTCACTATATATTCTATATAAGGAAAAAAAATACAAAGGGTCATTATATTATAAATTAGGTCAAACATTTTAGAATCTCTAAACCCGGACAAAATGCTCTAGGGCACTAATTGATGATAAAGCTTCTGTGAAAGTTCCGTCAAAATCCCTTGAGAAATGTAGGAGTTGCATACTGAAGAAATTGTTTGCGCCCACCCTCCAGCCTGCCGACATACCTCAATCTAATAACTAGGTTTTTCCTATAGAAAGCCTGGTTAAAGAAATAAAGAGCTTTTTCCAATTGTTTGTGTAGATGTCATTCATAATAAACAGTATAGTTGAGATTCATCTACTGCCAGCCTTTCATTGCATTCACATGATATATCTATTCATTGTTGTTTACTTCTGTTGAGAACTTGTAGATATTAAATAGTACTATAAAACAATTCTTGTTGGATCTTGTATTTAACAATTTCTTTAAGAATCTAGTAAGCTTTAAACAGTTGATAATATTGGGTCTAATGCTCTTTCAGTATTGAATATTAGCATCGTTAAATGGACAAGAAAGTTTAAATCATGTGTTTAAAATTGCCTTGATTAATGATCAAAATCCCATACTTAAATAAGTTTCTCAACAGTTTTTAAGTGACTTGACCATTTTGTGACTTACTATAACTTGACTATTGTAAATTTTTATTACACATTAGGAAAAAAATGCACTATATATCTATTGATTTCATACAGTACTGACTTTCAACTTCTCTGAGGTATTTGATGAATTTCTGAAATATAGTTGATTCCACTACTCTTTTGTTTGATCCCTCTGAAGAGAACACTGGCTTCATTAAGTGTAATATCATCTTTAATGTCAAATGTAGATCATCTCTTGGTGTCATTAGATGCTGCATAAATTGGTGTGTTTTCAAAATCTGAAAAAAAAAGTTTACAACATAATTTTTATTGAAAAAAACAAACAAACAAAAAACAACAACAAAAACAGCACATGAAAATACTGTATGAATTGTGAACAAGAGGCATGTTACATATGCTTAATCCCCTTGCTGGGAAGAAGTTACCAAACTGCTATACTTTCACATATTTTACTCCTTAAAAAAGCTGTGTTACCGTAGTTTGTTATTGCCATGCTTACAATCGGAACGTCCTCGGCTATCATCTAGACTTTAATATATAACCTCGAAGTTAAAATGGATTGAAAGTAGTTCTATAAAGTGGTTTCAGATGTAAACAGAAACAGTGAGTGTATTATATGATAATGTAAAAGGAATGTGTATATTTGACATCCAAACGAAGATAAAGTCTGTTTCGGTACTGACAAATCATTTTTTTATTTAAACATTAAAGAATATTTAACCACATTTACTTGTTAATATAAGAACACATGTCAATGTTTGTGATTAATTCTTTTATTCTAACACTATCGGAATTTTTTCTATATAAACAAAGAAGGTCGGGAGCGTGCATTAAATAATTATGCAACAATGCACTCGCCGTTCTTATTACCAGTCCCTGTGTATTTTCAAGCCGACACATTGAAGGGGCAATTTTTTTTGATAAATCTGATAAATAAAAAACAATTTTTTGTCAATTTTTGTTGTAAAAACTATCTAGAATGAAAGAAAATGGTCTAACTAAGAAAATGAAGCCGAACACCAATATCATTAATTCAGTTGTTAACGCTGTACAGACAGTTTGTTGTTTACAAAACGTCATGCACAATTAATGTAGCCCCAAACAGCACACGAAACACAATGAAATCAAGAAGGATATTTCAATGTCGCAAACATTTTTAGTTAAATTTCACAATTATTTCACTATAAATACTTTTTATTTCGTTGAAAATATAGAGTGAAATAAAATAAACAAACAACGTTTTATCAATGTTTTCAAAATTTGTTATTCTCAAAATGTTTCTTCACGCAGTAGATTTAACAACAGGTTTTTTCAACCCACTGGAACAGCCGTTAAAGAATGTTTCTATTTGAAACTCTGAGGCAAAAACAAATTTAACCACCAAACATAAAGTCCAACAATATAATAACTATTATATTTTTTCTTGTGTTAGAATGGAAATAGATATAAATTCTTCGTGCATTATAGTATAATAATGCCTATCGGCTTTCATGATTATATTATATGTACTGCACATTTGAACTCATTTTAACTGGCATTATTCTACAACAATGCACTCAAAATTTATATTCAATGCAGGAGGAGAAAATATTTGACACCGCCTGCCTGCCAGGGGGGAAACTTTAATACAACCTGTTTTTCAAAAATATCAGTTAAGTTTCATAGAGATATTTTCATTACTTTTTGCATTACCACTGGATACAGTTTATGTGTTAAATTTGACATATTTTCAGTCTATTTGTTTCCATAGCAACCAACATTTTCAACACAGAAAGAAAAGAAAAAAATATGTGCATAATCTTTAGACTGCCTTTATACATTTGTCAAGTTTCATAAAAATATTTTTAGTACTTTTTGTGATATCACGGGCATGTCAATAAATATTAGTTCTTTTGATCACAGAAAGTCCCATGGTATAGACTCTGTGCCAATATAGGCATTTTCCCTTACATAGTCACACAGAAATTCAAAACATTTAATTCCCAATGGATAAAGTTCTCAATAGTCAGTCTGCATTTAATAATTTCAATTACCTGAAACATTCCCAAAGCATCCATGCCCTGTCCTAAAGCAATGAGAGTGCTCCTTGGTCTGTCTCCAAAGAATTCCTCCAGGATCTCAGCACTAAACAGTCGAGGTAATCTACCATTTTGAAGCATACTCAGCGCTGTAAGCATTTACAGTATTATATTAAGTTCAACATAATCAATATGTATTAGATTCATTGAAAAGAAAATAGTAACTATATTCAAATCAATGGTAGGAAATAGTCATACGAGTAAGTGTGATACTTCAAAATTCCCCTTCCTGTTGGTACCGTTATAAGTCTCCAAAAGTTGTCTTTGAAGTGCCCTGTGATCTAGCTCTAGACCTTGCTTTTTCAGAAGATTTTTAAAGCTTTAATTTTTTAAAATCTACATTGTATTTAAGCCCCTCTAACCCAGACATTAAAAGGACCAGAAGCTTTTGAACAATTTAAGCACAACTTCATACAAGGAGCATCCATGGCAAGTTTTATAGAATCTGACCAAGTAGTTTTAGAGGAGAAGTCATTTGAATATAAGTTGATGGCAGATGCAGGAATGCATATGATCACATATGCTCACCTTGAGCACTTTGGACAATTTTGCCCTAGACAGCTCACCCGAAGTTTAATGCTTAAAATAACCAAAATGTTCAATGCAAAAGTAAGTAATTTGATCAAATAGAGGGTGAAATTATTTACTTAGGCAGCATGATTTAAGAAATATTTCAATGGTTACAATGTAAGTCAGTGGTTTCTATGGATAGTCAACAGTTGCTAGGGAAGTCACTGGTTGCTAAGGCAAGTCAAAAGTAAATGGTTGTTATGGAAATCACTGATGATTGGGAATTTAATGTTTGCTTTCGAAGTCACTGGTTATGGAGGGAAATCAGGTCATTATCATTGAGTAATTTAATCTTTGAAATTCCACATGCTCAGTAAATCATTAAATTGTACCTACAAGCCTGACAAGCTATTGAAAACTAAATTTGATTAATACCACCCCCCCCCCCCCCGCACGACTGCTTAGGAAATGAGGATGTTACTAGTAACAGTATACCTTGTAAAAGAATTGAAATAGAGTAGGGGTTGTGGGCAATTAAAGAAAGTTGTGGTTCTTGTATGTTGCATTTCCTTTCAATATGGTTGACCATTGATGAAGTTTTATTGAATTACTCTGTAATAAGTCCCAAAGGGTAATAACTGTAATTAGTTCAAATAGAGTTATGTTTCTTGTGTACTGCACTTCATCTCACTGCCCTTGACCATTGTATAAAGTTTCATTGAATTTCAACCATTAATTTCAAGTTATGCACTAGACAATAAAAAGTAACAAAAGGGCAAAAACTTTTAAATGAGTCAAGAAAGAGTTATGGTTTCTGTGCACTGTGCTTCCTCTCAATATACTTCACCATTGTATGAAATTGTATTGAATTCCAACTAGTAGTTAAGTTATGCTCTGGACAAGAAAAAAGCAATTGAAAAGTAACAAAGGGCAATAACTCTATAATTACTCTGGACAGAGTTTTAGTTCTTGTGCACTGCACTTCGTCTTATTGTGCTTAACCCTTGTATGAAGTTGTTTTGAGATCTAATCAGTAGATTTGAAGTTATGCTCCAGACATGGGAAAGTATCAAAGGGCAATAACTCTGTTATTTGTCAAAATGGAGTTATGGTTCTTATGCACTGTACTTCTGCTTAATGTGCTTGACAACTGTATGAAGTTGTATTGAATTCCAACCAGTAGTTTCTAGTTATGATCCGGACAAGGAAAAGGGCAAAAACTATGTAATAAGTCAAGATGGAGTTATGGTTTTTGTGCACTGCACTTCCTCTTAATGTGCTTGAACATTATATGAAATTGTATTGAATTAAAACCATTAGTCTTCAAGTTATGCTCTGGACATAAAAAGCAATGGAAAATTAACAAAGGGCAATAACTCTGTAATTTGTCAAGATGGAGTTATGGTTCTTTGTGCACTGCACTTCCTCTCAATGTGCTTGACCATTGTATGAAGTTATACTGAATTCCAACCATTAGTCTTCAAGTTATGCTCCGAACAAGGAAACTGCAACGGACCGCAGGACCGACGACAAACCACTGGGTGACTCCTATATACAGTATTCCTAGGAATGTTCGATGATACAATATTTTGTGGTTTTTTTACAACGTCAGCATTTTTTTGTGGACACAAACTTTTGCGGATGTGTAGTAACTGAGAATTTTGTGAATATGAGGTTGCGACCACCTAAATTACAGTTTTTGGAGGCTATGTTTTTGATGCATGACCTTTCCTGTTGGGTACTTTAATTCTTTTATTTTTTTTGACAAGTCGCGCCTAAAGCGCTATGTTACTCGATACCTTTTCATTTATTGACTAGTCGAAAACGGACAGTTGTTCTGTGAACACTTTTTACTTAATTCCTTACCTTTTTAAATATGTGATTTAGACTAAGTCAGACCCATAAGCTTTTATTCTCATTTGAATCATAACTGACTTTATCTTCAAAATGTTGATATGTAATTTTTTACACAATATCGGACTGTGCATCACTTTCATTATAACAACATAACAGCTGTTTATCAATGTAGCATTTGATCGCTATTGTACTTTTAACAAAGGATTACACCTCAAATCCAAGTCATTCAATATATGCAAACTGTAAATGCTTTTGTATACGCCATGACTAGCGAATAACATCAATAAGCATGATAATAATTAATAATTGACAATTTTTTTCAGGGTCCAAACAGGAATCTAGAACATACATACATAATTCTTTACACATTTCGATAGTACCTGTGTTGATATGTTTTTGTGTAAGTAGATTATAACAAATATTCTGCACGTTCAGTCGTTCATGCTTTTATTTGCGGAATCATGCCTTAGTAACCGCAAAAACTTCAGCAGTCTTTTCTAGGAATACAGTTGCCCCCCAAACAAAAATTGCCCCCCAAATGTTTTTATCTATTTTTGGTGTTGCTTATATATAAGCTATCTCCAATTAAAATTAAACATCCCCAGTAAGAATTTCCTAGATTTCAAAGACTTTCTACAATAAAAGTATTTTACCTAATGATGAGCACAATGTATATATATATATATATATTTATATAATCTATATAAAGTACACTTTGAACTTACCAAATATCTTTCCAATGGTTTCATACTCTTTGTTATCAATCCAATCTCTAATAGGATCAAAGAATTTCTTCTGGATTTCCTGAAGTATTAGGTCAAAGAATTCTTTCCTTGGGCCACCTAAATCTTCAGCAGTCTGAAACATTTATAAAAATTATAACAATTTATTTCAAAGCTTTTCCTTTCAACTTGGAGAAAAAGTACTTTTAAGGCCAAATTTACATTGTATAAGGGCCTAACTGGGAAAATAGATCAGGTCATTTTAAATTTTGAGAAATCTGAATAATTGAATCTGAAGCAGAAATTGTACACAAACAATCAATTGCCTGCCACACTAAAAATATAAATGAATTTTAAAACAAAATCTTTATTCTTACTTCACCATAAAACTGAACTTCCAATGTCAGCCTCAAATTTTGTATGTCTCTTATTTCTTGCATTCCTGTTGAAAGAATGTTGAACCTGTCAACTACAATATAATTTGTAGCACCTGTTATGCTTGTCAACAAATCTTCTTCCTCAATGTCTAATTTTCTTCCAATCACTATTTTAGACTGAATATATTTCAGTGCATGGATTGGATCACTTATTTGAAAATTGATTATATCTTCGATGCAAGTTTTTGTAATATCATTTATGTTTTCATTCAAAGATTCAGTATTAGACAGCAGATGTTCCACAATATTAGAGTGCTGTGTTGCAAAACCTGTTTCTAAAAGATTTTGGTATTCATTGGTCTCAGGTCCATTGTCTGTATTTAATGGGCGTTCAAAAAAGTTTGTCTCCAAAATGTCATCATCTACTGTGTTGTTTACTTGCTGTTGGTTTGGATCTTCTATACGTGTCTGGTTGATATTTTGACATTGCAAAATATGTTGCCCAAGTTCTGAAACCCTGAATGATATACCACAGGTTTGGCAAGTGTTGTTAGCTTCCTGTTGGTTTGGATCTTCTATACGTGTCTGGTTGATATTTTGACATTGCAAAATATGTTGCCCAAGTTCTGAAACCCTGAATGATATACCACAGGTTTGGCAAGTGTTGTTAGCTTCCTGTTGGTTTGGATCTTCTATACGTGTCTGGTTGATATTTTGACATTGCAAAATATGTTGCCCAAGTTCTGAAACCCTGAATGATATACCACAGGTTTGGCAAGTGTTGTTAGCTTCCTGTTGGTTTGGATCTTCTATACCTGTCTGGTTGATATTTTGACATTGTGCAATATGTTGCCTCAGTTCAGTAACACTGAATTGGATACCACATGTTTGGCAAGCATATTTCGTGCTGGTAGGGGTGTTATCTTCCTCCTCCTCCTCAATATCTAGTGATAACGAATTCTGTATAGGTCGAACATAAATTCGACTTTGTCCTCCAATTACAGATTTCAAATGAGAAACATCCCACTTAACATCAATTTTTTTTAGCTGTCTTCTATTAGCAGTACAGTACATAAGTTCATAACCTCCACTTGTTTCTAGTTTTGGAAATTCCTTCAGAAGTGATACATGTAAATCTGACTCGCTTCCTGATGCACTGAATGCAATTTTCTTTAAGCCAAGTCCAGCTTTTTGTAAACATACTTTTTCAGAATGTGAAGGTACACTTGTCTGTGAAGTATCAGATAAACACATTATTGCTGCTGTCCATGTCTTCTCCCTTTGAACTTCTTTTCGGCCCCTGTGAGACCGATTCCCAAATGAGCGGCTAGGAAAAAATGACCTTTCAGCTGATACACTGTTACCTGAAGTGTTAAAACAAAAATTATTGTTAAATCAGATTCTCAACTAACTGCTAAGAAATGGTCATTTACCAGAAATATGTCCAAAGAATACTCAGATCTTCCATCTGTCTGTCATAGTATATACATATTAACATACTTAAGTGTCAATGTCACCATTAAAATTGAGCCTACAACATTTTCAGATTTGTCACATTAGGCTTTAAGTTTCTTAATCGCATTGTTTGGAACTTTTCCTTTGTTCTTATAACCCATTATACTCAGTACACTTCAATGGGCATTTCAAAACTGTACTGATATATAACAGTACAGTTTTTTCATTGATTCATATAGGAAAAAAAAAACTTGACTGTTATATATCGGTTGAGTTTTTTTCGCACCTGTTATATATCAACACAGTTTTTTCATAGAGGCTCCAATGGGGCAGTGGTAACGACCATTCCCAGTAGCCAAAAAAAATGAAATCAATAAAATAAAATAAATATATAAATACAATGATAAATATAAACAAAGATAATTAATGAAATGAAATGTACTCTCATTTAATCAAAAGGTACATCCGCTGAATGAATTATTTCCACTGAAAAAAAGCCCTTTAATCTTAAATCATTTTTTGTAACAGTATACAATCCGCCTCTAATATATTGGATGTCTTTTGTATAATTTTTTTTTGCGGCAGCGAAAACAACTTGAAAAACTGCCTTATCATAAATACTGTAATGTAGCTAACGATTAATTTATTTATTTGTTTCTATACAAAAAAAGGAAAACATTATGCCATTGCGATAAAACAGTTATAGTATATGAAACTCGTTAGTTACGGGGGTATAACACTGGCTGGGGCGACATCTCGGGATGTTTCTGAAAAATAAAATTGTCTCGGTCTAACGGCCTCGCCATTTTTTAGCAGAAACACCCCTTGATGTCATGCCATGGTCACCTTTACCTTTGATTTTAAATGGCATCAAAATCACTAGGGGTCATTGAACTTTGACCTTATAGCCTCAACATCTATAAAAGACATCTACTGGGCAAGGGCATTGACCCTATGATAATTATCAGATACATAAACCATGGCATTTGAGTCCTCCTAAGTTATTGATCAGACAAGGATTTTACAAAAGTGTTGTGGTGACCTTGACCTTTAACCTAATTACCTAAAAATTGATAGGGATTATCTACTGGTCATTACCCTCAGGACAATGTCCATACCAGATAGCATAAAGCAATGGCTTATTTCTTCAATCAAGGATGTTACACATGTACTTTAAGTGTCAATGTGACCCAGACTATACCCTTATAACCTCAAATTCAATAGGGGTCTTTTTCAGACCTTGGACAATGTATCCACTAAGTAACAAAACAATTGCTTATTCCTTCTTAAACAAGAATTTATAACAGAGCTACCAACGTCCCCTGCCTTAGGGAAGTTTTATAATTATTTGTACCATAAAATTGTGCTATTTCAAAGATTGAGGTATGGATATCAGGACATTCAGTCCAAAATTATGATCAATGTTAGATCTGCAAATGCAACAATAAATTAATCAAAGAAATAAATAGAAACATGGAATTTAAAAATCTATCATGTTATTTAGCTTTGACCTCTAGTTGTGACCTTGACCTTGGAGGTAGTACTGCAGGTATTGTGCATGACATATCATCTTATTATTGTAACAATTTGTGCCAAGTAATTTCAAAATCTCTTGATCTATAAAGAAGTTATGGACGGGTCACAAAATATACCATATAACAGACTCTGTTAACCTATGACCTCTTATTTCAAAGTCCCTTGAACTATGAAGAAGTTCTAGATAGGAGTGTGGATCGCTTCCCGGACATCTGCTTGAACGAATCTTCGAATACTGGATTTCATACGATTCTCAGATCACTTCGATTGCCATTCACAAATCGAACCATGAATCTTTTGTTATCAAGACACCCATAAAAAACATGAACATTAGTTCTGAAAACATGTTTATTTTTCTTAAAACAATACTAAACATTCATTTCATTTAACATATATGCAATGCAAATATAAACTAGGTTCATCGGTTGAAAACGAGTCGCGCCAATATAATTGCCAAAAGTAAAATTTACTTTCAAAGAAAATGAGGAAAAAGCAGTTTGTAAAACATGCCATTGGTTAACCGACTTATGCAGGTGGTACAACAAACTTGTCTAATCACATGAAAAGACAAGTATTTCCAAAAATTGGAAGAAAATTTTGCTGGTGGGATTTCATACCGGTGCGATTCCTTTTCAGGCAATACATGTGACTATTAACTTTCGCAAATTTTGTATTATTTAAAATAACACAGTTTTCGATACATGTCACATTATTATAAATCTATACATAGAGACAAAAAATATTTATTTATTATCATGTAAGAAAAACATAGTGCTCAATAAAGTGATTCCTTTTTCGAAACTAATGACTTCCTAGCTCAGCATCATGGTACATATTTGTTTACTTCCTGTTTTTAATGAGCAAATTGTATTTAGGTTAATATCAAATAATTCATACACAAATTGATTTTTTTTTTGACATTTTAAGTGTGAGAAACAGGGAATGTATAATAAACAAATGAGATCGCAATCCACGATCTCTGGACTGACGAATATTCGTACTCGATTTTTCATTTTGATTTGTGATTAATCGAGTACTCGGATACTCGCCCCTGCCCTAGTTCTAGATTGGACACAAAATATACCCTATAACAGACTATGTTAATTTTTTACCTCTAAGACCGACCTTGACCTTGGATGTAGGTGCTGCGCACGATACACTGTCTTATTATAGTGACTATTTCTGCCAATTATTTTCAAAATCCTTTGCTCTATGAAAATGTTATGGACCAGACACAAAATATACCTTATAAGAGACTATGTTAATCTTTGACCTCCAAGTGTGACCTTGACCTTGAAGGTATGTGACCTTTTGTTGCACATGACACATTGCCTCATTATTGTGAACAATTGTGGCAAGTATTTACAAAATCATTTCAAAATTAAGAAAGTTATGGACCAGACACGTCATACCCTAAAATGAACAATGTTGACCTTGAATAAGCAAGTGCGACCTTTACCCTAGAGGTAGGGGTCTGGTTGTTGTGCATGACACATCGTCTTATTATAAAAACATTTGTGCCAAGTTATTTCAAATTCCTTTGATAAATGACAAATTTATGGACTGGACACGAAAGTGTGATGGACGGACGGACTGACAGACAGAGTTTATTTCTATACCCCCCTTTTTCTTCGAAAAGGCGGGGGACAATTATAGATGCAGGGAGTCCAAAAGCAATCCCACTAGGGTCTTCATATCAGTATATAGCAAGATTGTAATATCTCATTCCTAACTGAACTTGTTATTGTCTGGAAACCTTTTCCTATTCTAAGTAACAGTAGCATTGACCTTGACCCCAAGGGGTCAAAACATACCAACTGGGGTCATAATATAAGCTTGCTATATACAAAGTTTTATATCTCATTCTCAACTCTAGTTATTGCCCAGATACAATTTTTCTAGTTTTAGTAACAGTGACCTTGACCCCAGGCCCCATGTTCATAAAGATTTAAGGATCAGGATCAAGATCAGGATCAAATCTAAAAACTCAAATATTCTCCATTGTTTATTCTCACTGTTGAACTTAACAGCAAATTTCGTTGACAGTCACAACTATTTCAGCAATGTTTTGTTAAAAATTGGAAAAAAAATGCATGAATTAAATTTTGCAAGGATTAAATGAAAGCAAACAGTCACTGTCTAGGATGGTATCTTCAAACACCTTCAAGCACCATAACAGTGAAGAAGCCGGGAGACTAATTTTCAAAGATTTTAGAATTTGTTATTCTGACAATATTTTTATTTTTGTAACATTCAATTGGGCAATTTTTTCCTGTGGATTGGGAAAATAATATAGTCTATTTTCAATTTGGAATATGACAGAACATCAGCTATAAAAAAAAGCAACCAAAAAAAACTCTGATAGCAGTAACAAACCTTGACTATTTGGTGCGGCTGCTGGAGGCGCTGTTCCAGAAGTTTGAACCTCAGCGCGAAATCGAGCTCTGTCACCAATGGTAGTTAATCCAAGGCTTGATAATTCTGTATCAGACAGCTGTTTACATGTAGTTAGTGTTGTGACCTTTTGCTTCTTAAAATTTTCTGATAAATTTCTTAAGCCTATTTTTTCAAGAACATGTGACACTGGATCCTGGGTCAAAGACATGGTGAAACCTGCCTGAAATGTAACAATAACCTATTCTTACACAACTTGGAGAATGGTCATTGGAAATATAAAACAAACATAAGACAGTCATAGGCCGATCTATACTATAGTGAAGCCTTTTTGAACTGCTGTCCATTTAGACAGCTGCATTAAATGCCACAAAAAAGAATCACTCTCAAAATTTGGATCTTATAGTTACTTTAGTGTTTGAAATAGTCTACAGTGCAGTTTCTGCAATTTACTCCACAAATTTTGCCAAATATATTTGGGATAAGAACTCATTTAAGTTTCAGTCAAATTACAATTAGCTCCTGCTATTACAGTACCTTACTTTGTTTGCCATCATTTAAATGCTCAGTTAAATAGTAAACTGTTATTAAAAGCTCTATACCAATAATGTCTGATTTGTAAATAGATTTGTAAATTTCTGCAGAATGATCTTTTTTAAGGATCCAACATACCAAATAGAATGTACAGGCTGTGTGTCTATTTAGATAAAAATATTACTGAACTTTCTAAGAGGTGCCACAGGAGTGGTGAATAACAGCTCCCACCTGATTTCTACAACACAGGATACTTTGTAGTGCATATCATTATTTTTGAAAGAAAACATTTGAGTCAAGTTTTAAAATCTACATTTGAAAACTATAGAACTTTCAGTGCAGACACAAAATGTACTTTTTGACCTTCAAAGGTGACCTTGATCTTCTCTAGTTTCAGAAATATTCAAATACATGTGTACATGTTAAAATTTAACAATATTTTCTAAGTCAATTTTTGACCTTCAAGTGTGACCTTGACCTTAAGCCGGCAAAAGGTTAACATTGGTTCTGCCCATGACCTTGTTGAGGTGGAAATTTGAGCCAAGATTGAAGAAAAATCTTTCAATTAGTGACTAGGACTTACAGAGCAGACAGGACATACTGTCTAATATTTGATTGTTTGATATTTGACCTGCAACTGTGACTTTGACCTTGAGCTGACACATGGGCAACATGGGTTCTGCACATCCCCTTGTTGAGAACCCTAACCCCCTGTTGAGGTGAACATTTGAGCCAAGTTTGAAGAAAAACCTTCAACTGGTATAAGATTTATCATGTTTATAGAGCGGACACGATAATGGAGATGGACGGACGGACCGACGCAACAAAGCGAATATATTTTAGCCCCCCCCCCCCCACATTTTGTGGTGGGGGTATAATGAATAAAGAAAAATATTGATTATATTTACAATAATTTTCAGTCATATAAATAAAATGAAACATTTATTAAAGATAAAGCAAGACTCAAGACTGTTGCATTTAAACATTAAAGCAAGTAAAGAAGCATTTGCTACCCCTAAACAAACATGTCTTGTCATGTATGACATACACTTACTGAAGGCTTAATATCCAGACACAGGGTTTAAAAGAGGACTAATCAATTGACTCATTCCATTTTCTTTAGTTATTCATTATATGTAAAAACAACAACAAAAAAACAACAGCTACATTGCTGAAGAGCTGAATAATTTGTTTATCTTGACAAGCTAAACTCAGTGCAAATCCAAAATAGCCAGTGAATTCATCATAGATGGGAAATTACACTTCAACAATACTATTTCTTCATTCAGACCAGACTGTCTTATTATTTTCCCGAAATTAATATACCTGAAAATGAGACTTGCTGATCTGTTTCTACAAGAAAAAATATTGCCTAATCTTTATTTTTCTTTTTAGAAAGAAAATGAAAAGACAAAGTCCTGGCTTGATATCAACATTAAATTTTACACAATTACACTTGAAATTGGCACCTCTTGTTTTTGAAAATAAACCTTGTTAAATAATGTTTTTTAAAGAGGGTGGAAAATCACCCATATTTTTGAATTTCTAGAATAGACAATGAATTCATGTTAAATAAATATTTTGATATAAATAACTTTTAGTTTCACAACTGATTATAATTTTACATCTCTAGATCTAATATAAACATGTCATAGAGGTCTTAACTAAATATTATAACATTTAATTTTAATAATCTATAGCTTGATTAAAGCAGATTATCAATTAACTTCCTAGGTATTTTTATCTAACAAGCCATACATGATTAAATTAATTATCTTATAGCATTTATGCTCATAATAACTTAAGGCGTAATTACTATGACATGTCATTCTCTCAATTTATATTGTTGATTCACATATTTAAATGAGTCTTATAAACAAAATCACTGTACCCTGTCTTGCAAGCTGGTACTATATTCAATATGTACCCTGTCTTTTAAGTACCAAGCACATGCTACTTAATACTATCACTGTACCCTTCTTGGGAGCCTATATATTTTAAATTTTATCTTTCTGGCAAGTACAGGAAGTAGACTGGTTTACATATTGTGATATTTTACTAATTATGAAGAAGTATTACATCAAGTCTTATGATTAACTCGGACATATATAATACCAAGTACTTTGAAAATAAAAAAGAACAAAAAATGTTGAACCACACATATGCCCCCCTTTCTAGCTCTTGACTCACATTATTGGTAATTTTGTTATAGAAACTTGCCAATAATGGGTACATGAAAGTGTTCAGTTATGGAAAAAAGAAAATAATGACCTACGTACTTTAAGTTATATTACCATTCAATGTGTGTGTCAGGAGAAATGTCAGCCTTGATGTTATTTAATCTAAGGAAAGATTCAGTAATAAATACTGGAACCAATTTCCAAGATATGGGGGCTGGGCAGCACCGCCTGACATAAAAGTGAAATATTCTCAGTTGGAAAACTAGCATGTAATTGTTTAGTTAACACTATCTTTTTTTAGGTATTTTTATCCTTTTCTATCTCAAATCAATATATACATGTAAACAACAAACTCTGATTATTATTTACACCCAAAACAAAGAACTCTGATCATTATTTACACCCAAAACAAACACACATCATTTATCAGCCACTTATATGAAATATCTTTTCACGTATATGTCTTTTATACGAAACAAGACACCTGGCGAGCCCAAGCTCTAAACAACTTATGATCAAACAACAATAAAATCACCACAAAATGAAGAACACAAAAAATGAATATTTTTACAACTCTATGATACAGTATACTTAACCACAAACATTCATACAACAATATTAACTTCACACAATCTAATCAGCATCAGAAAACAACTTAAACTAAAGCACCCAATATTTACATATATCCTCAAAACAAAGCAGCAACTAATATAATCTTGACCAGACAAACATTCAACCAATATCAACCAATTATATCTTCACAAACAGATATAACTCAACAACCAAAACAACAAATTACAACCAATAAACCCTGATCAATTAAGATCACCACAATTATATTCAACCACTTCAACAAACCAACAAAACTGACTTCAAAACAACAAATTTCTCTTCAAAACAATTCTCTTCCTAATAAAAAATACACACTATCAGCGTGTCTCACCTAATTAACTGATGTAAAATCTCTCTCTAAACACGCATATTTGCTAGCATAAACATCTGACATTTAAACATGTAGAATAAATTTTACACTCCCAGCAACAGGTTTACAAACTGTACATTGAAATATGATACACTTCAGTGTATAAAAATCTTGACCTTAGAACTAGTAACCCCATCATGACTAATAAAAATGTGAAATATGAAGACTTTGTGATAAAAAGTTTTCGAGGTAAAAAGTGGAAACCATATTTACCTTTAAGGCCCCTGTGACCTTGACCTTTGAACTAGTGATCCCAATATCAATAGGGGACATCTTTTAGTTATAACCAATCAATATGTGAAATATGAAGACATTGTGATAATTTACAAGATAATAAGCGGAAACCATTCTGACATTTATGACCCCAGTAACCTTGACCTTTGATCTGGTGACCCAAAAATCATTAGAATGCATAATTTATACTAGTTATGACCATTCACTATGTGAAATATGAAGATTTGTGATAAATTAAATTCAAGATAATGAGTGGAAACCATATTATTAACATTCACATTCCCCGTTCCCTATGACCAAGTGACCCCAAAATCAATAGAGTCACCTACTAGTTATGACCAATCACTATGTGAACTATGAAGGCTTTGCGATAAATTGTTTTTAAGATAATCAGCCGAAACCATGTGGTCTACTGATTGACAGACAGACCTACCGACCATCTGACCGACATTAACAAAACAATATATACCCCTCTTCTTCAAAGGGGGACATTAAAATTAACTTAGGCAAATTCAGGTGCAAATTGCTGTGGCTTGTCTATATTATCATTATTCATAGTTGAGAAGTTTACAATTACAGTACTGATAATAAATTAATTAAGATCAACACTGGACTTTTGTGTTTTATAATATACAGTCAAATCTCCATTATTCAAATTGCTAGGAACTGAAAATTTACTTTGAATAATCAATGAGTTTGAATAATCAAAATCCGAAATATAGTGATAGACGACAACTATTCATCTTTGACAAATACGCCAAATTAATAGCCAAAGTACTAGCTGTTTACAACACACTTGTTATCAATAATAATCAATTGAGAAAATTAAATAAACAACAAATATGATGCATAAAAAATAAAATTGTATTGGTACTGAAGACATAAATACTTGCATTTTGTTCCACATAATTAATGATGTATCATACATGCAACATATACACAAAAATTATCGCTGTCATCTTCAAGCGTTAACAGTAACAAATTGATATGGTGCAAAAACAAGGTACATATTCACAATAAGGATATTTTGTCATGGACATAATGCACCAATTTGAAATAGAAAAGGAATATTTCAGTATCAATATACAAATTAACAAATATAATATGGTGGTGTTTGCTTATTTATCTGTTTCTTTAAATTGTTTTCTTCTTTTAATTAAGATTATTAAATTGATAACTTTAAACTTTAAAAGAGAAATCACTTGCATACAAATAATTTTCGGTAATTAAAGTTAATTTAGAAACAGGTGTAATTATCAAGATTGTCTAATTTATTTATAATACACGCATGGTTGTTCGAAAATTTTCACAAGTTTTGACAATCAGTGAGTAGATCAGCGGCAATTAGTCTGGCTTCGGTTCAGAGCTGCATCAGTACTTTAAGGGTGTAGTACTGTAAAATTAAAGTACCAGTACCAGTACTTTTATATATTCATCATTATTAGTTTGAATAAATACAAACTGTCAAACAAAATTAACGTATTATGTATATTTGCATAATATTTTAAATAATGATATGTTTTTTTAAAAACAATTATTTCCATTTCATATGTATACACTTCAAATAAAAAAAAATGCAACCATTATTCAGCAAAATAAATGGAACATATATAGTTTAAAGTTTACGTTTTTACAACTTTAATGATTTAACATACTTTTTTACAAACAATATTTACAACATATATTCATGTCATATCTTTTTGTTTAGTAACCTGTCAACTGTATAAATACAATGCAATCATCTTTCATGTAGTATTAGTCAGAAAAGAAGCATTCAATTAGTGTTTATCATGCTTTTTTACAAGTAAACACAAAGAAAACAACTGATGACATTTTTGTCAAAACCAAAATACTGCCTTTTAATGCAGTAGCAGTACCACTTTTTGAGACAGTAATGCAGAACCAGAGTACCAGTAGTAGCAACATTTTGTGACTGTAATTCAGTATCTGAGTACCACTGTACTTGCAAAATCACTGCAGTACCTATATAATGCAGTACCATTACCATTAATGCAGCTCTGCTTTGGATAGACTAAGGTTGTGAAATTCTGTCATAATTGTATAATCAGGATTGAAATTTTATTTTAAAAAATAGGTGGTATTCAGATAATGCATTTCGAATAATACATTTGTATTGATACCAACTTATATTATATAAGAGATAAAAATGGGGGCCACAGATCTACTTTGGATCATGCTGGGTATTTGAATAATGGATTGTTGATTTAACAACTAGGTCAGACTGTACATTTTCATTACCAGGACGATACTTGATGTCCCTGATTAAAGAAAAGAAATTATACTCCCACCCAGCCTACGAGGGTTTCAATGTAGGGTGCCAATTAGACTGCAGAGGATAAATCTGTTAGTGCCACTTAACTTTAAATTATAGCAACACAAAAGTTTTCAGTTAAAATATTTAGAAAAATGTTCGAAGTTTCAGATAAAAGTTAACCCACAATTTTTGTTT